GATGTGCTTTGATGTTGACAAGGCAGTCTGAGAAGGAACGAAGAGAAAATAAATGAGAACTGAGTACGACCTCCTCTGAATTTAAGGGAAAATAACCAGTAGAGACCCTGAGACTGAATCTCATTTTATATGTTATCATATATATATATATATATAATATAGAGTCTACCTTGATATCAAAATCAGAAATTTATCTTTTTGCAGGGAAAAAAGGTCTGTAAAATTGGCATAGTTGGATTTGTGCTGTGACCAAAACGGCCTGGGCAGCGGCAGGGCTGCAAAGATGCCCTCAGTGAGCGTGACAACCCGACATAATTAATGTGTCTCCCTTCCATCCTGCTGTGTTGGCTAAAATGAGAAAACATAACTTTATTTCCAATTAGGTACATAACTGATCAAATAAACACAAAGGTATAAGTGTAGACAGTAGATACACGCGATGCTAATTCTCAACATCCTCCCTCTCAACTTATATAAATTAAAATCAGGGACTCGTTAAGGTAAGTGGGAATTCTGGGCCATTTGGTACATGCATGACATGGTAGCATCTGAGGACCGCCTGGCAGGCCATCAGCTCAGAAACTTGTCTTCTCCGTCCCACGAGACCATAAACCGACCGCATCCTCTCTGAGAGCTCAGGGACTACCTGTCACTCCTAACGGCAAAGGATCTCAAACAGAGTAATACAAAAATTGTTATGGTTTAAGAGTCAGGAAGCCCTTCTCAGAAACCAGATTGTTCACTTTTTCTGCCCTGACACATCGGAAGAGGACAGCAGGGCCTTAGAGGGGCTTCTCGGGGGGCCGAGCCCTGGGCCTCACTCAGGAGGAGGGGAGGTGGGGGAGCCAGCGCGTCCTCCCAGGTGAGCTCAGGCCCTCAGGCCCTTGCTCAGACGCCAGCCCCCCAGTCCGCTGCGTGGCAAACCCACCCAGCCCCACCAGTGCCCGCCAGCCCCCACACTGTGCCATCCCCACCCCAGCTCCCACCGGACACGGTGCGCACTCATCTGTGCCACTCACGCTGCTTTCACCACCCATCGCCCTGGGGTTCAGGCCCTCAAGTTCAAAGCAGGGTCCAGGGGTCCCTTGGTGTCAATGACACAGCTGGTTTTTCAGTGCCGGCTCTTGTTTGCCACCGCTAAGCCGGGTGCCTGAATCAAAATCTCTGGGGGGAAAGGTGCAGGGATCTGCCCCTAGGGGGTTCTGGGACCCACAGGAATCTCAGAAGCCCTGGCGATGTGGAGGGGTGGGAGGGGGCACACTCACCTTATTGATTCTGCTTGGCTGTAAGTTGCATTATCCACAACACCTACTCTGATTCCTTTCCCCACAATCCCATGCACACAGCGGCCTGTCACTGACTATTAATTAAATGAATGTTTGCTAACAAGCTGAAGCTGCCTAGGATTGCACTGAGCCGGGCAGGAGGAGGCAGGAATGACAGGCCATTGTGGTGGCTGCAAAATCAGACACAGCGTCTGATCCTGCGAACGGCCCCAGCCAGGGCTCTGGGGGGAGCATCCTCACGGCATGCAGTGGGTTGTATAGCTAAAGAACGCCACTGCAGGAAAAAGGGGAGAAAAAGTGGCAGCAATAGAGAAGAACACACAAAGCCCCAGCTGCCCGCAACATGAATAGCCTGGCAGGGCAACCCCATGAGGACCCACGGAGAATACAGATCAGAGGGAAATAGGGAACCCAAGAGGAGGCGGCGCAGTAATCCGTTTTCAACTCCCCTTTCCTTCGCTTCACCCTGCCTCTCTCTCTCTCTCTCTCCCCAAACCTAAAGGTATGCAAGCACAATCTGGGAGCTGCTGGGCAAGAAGAACTAGTGCTGTGTGACCATGGGGGTCCGGGGTCTCTTATGCTGGCCCTGCAGCTCGGCCCGAGCTATGCCATGCTCATTATTCCTGGCAGGCGAGAGCCCCCAGGGAGAGCTCCTTCTGCAGCTGGCATTTTGTGAGCTAAGTTATTTGCAAGAATCAGAGAGGAAACATTGCACTTTGTTCCAAAGGATGACTGGAAAAAAATGGGGGAGGTCTGGAGATTTTAAACAGAAATATCAAGGTTCAAAATCTAACCCTTTTTGTTGTTGTTGTTTTTTAACAAAAGAATGACTCTGGACACAAATGCAACATTGTCCCTGAGAATTAAAAGCTGTAACTCCAGTACATTTACAGTTAAAATTTAAATGCATAAAGTATATAATAGTATACCAATTGAAGAATGATACATTGGAGGTTTTCTCCTATCCAATAAAACCATAAAGCTGGAAAGCAACTCAAGAGATGTTGCCCAGGTCCTCAATTCCAGGATTACAGTTATCTATGCCTCGAACCTCCTCTTCAAGATTTCTAGGGATGGAGTGTTCATAAAGTTTTTCTGGCCTGGTGGGATGTGTTTTGCACCTGGAAGGGAGAAGTTTTTCTCCATGTCCAGCTGAAGCCACTGCGGTTTCCCCTTTGTCCACTAGCCCCTCCGCGGATGCTAGGGCAACCCCCACTCTCTGTGGCTGCCCTTCTCATCCCCTTCTATCATTTTCAACATCCTTTAAGAAGTAAACTAAATGACCATGACCTGAGGCAGTACACAGGGAATAAAATCAGCCGTGAGTCTTGAACCCTATGTTCCTTTCCAGAGCAATGAGTGTTTATTCTCCTACCAGGTCTCTCTCTCACAGAGTGTGCACGCATGTATGTATATACGCATATACGTAAACACACACACACGCACCCCTCTTCCACGTCTGGATTGGACTGTTAGATCTTTCTACTCTGTAACTGCATTCTTCCCTCCCACTTAAACACACTCTGCAGACTTGAGCAAAGTACGCCTTTCTTCTGAGACTCGGCCCTACCCATGTCATCCTGCTTCCGAGGGGCTCCTTTGTCCTCAACTGGAACACAATTCGAAATGACTGTAGGGCATCTCTAAAGGACAGAGAACCCAATTTAATCTCATATCCATTCTAAATCAAGTGAGCATTTTCATAATTCCTTTAAATCGTCAATTCACCAAAAGCACTGAATCCGATGTGACCGGAGGCCAGGCCCGTGGATCCACGCTTTCCAGCTGAACCGGAGTCCCTGGCAGCAGAGTTACCCTCTGACATCGCTCCTCCACGCAGAAGTGGAATCGCTGGGTCACACGGCAGCTCCATTTGTAATGTATTGCGGACCCTCCATACTGTTCTCCATAACGGCCCCACCAGTCTGCATGCCCACCGACACTGCCCGAGAGAGACGCTGTGGCACGTGCATGGCCAGTGGGCCAGAGAAAGACCAGTTCCGTAGGATTTCACTTACATGTGGAATCTAAAGGACAACATAAATGAACGGGCAAAATGGAAACAGACTCATGAATTCAGAGAACAGACTGGTGGTTGACAGAGGGGAGGGGCACTGGGGGGCTGGGTGAAAAGGGGAAAGGACTGAGAAGTGCGGATCGGGAGGTACGGAACAGTCACGGGGACGTCAAGTACAGCATGTGATGACAACAGCATCGTGATCACTATGGATGGTGCCGGGTGGGAACCCGAAATATCAGAGGGATCACTCTGTAAAGTGTATGATGGTCTGACTACTATGCTGTACACCTGAAACTAACACAAAAATAATATGAAATAGAAACTGTAATTAAAAAATAAAATTTAATTAAAATAAAGTCGCTCTTTTAAATGGCTTCCTATAATTTGCTTGCCTCAATCCCTCCGAGCAGTTCCTCATAGTAATGAAAACAAAAACTCCTTTCCGTGACAACCAGGGTCTCTACACTTGAACTCCCCACCCGACTAGACCACTCACCACAGCCTTCTCAACTTCCTAGCGACACTGGCCCCTTGCTTTCCACTCTAAAGCACACAAGACCGTGTCCCCCTTGGAGAACTAGCACATCCTGTTCCTTCGGCCCACGGGACTCTTCCACAAGCTCTTCACACACTGGCTTTCTCTCCGGCCCATGCTCGTTTCCCTGTGTTTTCTCCTCCCGCCTCTTCCAACCGGCAGTTAGGCCTACAAAGCTGCTGCCAGCCAGGGTTGCTCACACAGCCCCCAGTGTCGGGCAGCCAGCGGGCACCCAGCGCGCATTTGGGGCATGAACGGACCTGTGTGTGTGTGTGAGGCGCTGTGCACCTCGCCATCGCTCCAGACTGCTGTAGGCCCCAAGCCGACCACAGCTATGCAAGGACCCAGGAGAGGACAGAACACCCCGACGAGAAAGATCAACGGACCTTTGCTTCCCCAACCTGGAAGGCAGTGAGGGAAGGAGTGTATAACTCTCCAAGGTTATAAAAGAAATCCACAGGCAAACAAGCATGTTTCCCACCCGTCAAAACTCAAAACAAATTTCTGGTGGCAAAATGTGCAAAAAACTATTTTCTTTGTTACCTCTAAATCGACATCTAGACTCATCGACTCATGTAAAAGAGAGTATCGCATGAAAGAATCCAAAAGGGTACGAAGTCACACATTTCCTTCCCCGCTTTCTTTCTATGTTGGCATCACAGTTTCCATAAACAGGAAATGTTTTTAGTGGATTCTAAGGCATGAATATTAGTATAAATTTTGAGAGCTGAAGCAAAACAAAAATACAAAATTACCCCCAAAGGACTCATAGGGTGCAAGTGTTGAGAAACTTGTTTTGTTTTGTATGCGATAAGATATGTATTATTCAGATGGCAAATACAAAGGGAGGAACTAAATTATCATTATGGACAGAACGTTCACATGAAGTTCCACAGGGCTGTAAAAATATGGCAAGAACACTGTTTGTTTTTACATAGCCTTAAACTTACGTCTTTCACGTTACCCCCCAGATTAGGAAGCATGCTAAGGCATTAAGAAAAATAAAGCGAGACATGAATTCATACCACCAGCACTCAGTGAGCTTCTTTTGTTAGTTGTTGAACGTTTTCATTCTCTAAAAATGCCACCATTGTGAAACGGGCGTGTTAAGTCCTCTCGCCTGTCCCACCAGAGTCTCTGCGGGCCGCGCGCCACGTACCTTGCAGCCGCTGTGAGCCCTGCTCTTCGTCAGGGGCGTGGTGGTGCACAGCTCGATGGCTTCGGGCTCGTGGAAGATGACGGCGGGGAGAGGCTCCTTTTTCAGTGTCAGGACATTCAGTTTAGACTTCAGCATGGTCTGAAAGTGCTGGAAAGCAGGAAAAACAATAAGCCAAATTCAGTGTAAATCATCTGGAAGTGTGCGCGTGCAGGGGCACACACAAGCCAGCAGCAAACTCTGTGTGTCGTTACCCCTGTCTTCACCGAGGAGGCCAAGAGATGGCGAGTGACACAGAGGGGGGGAGGACTGTCGGGACCCTGCCGAGTGAAGGTGTGGGGGAAGCCAGCGCTCCCGCCGACATCGTGAGAGCACGGGCCATGGGAGAGTCGCCACGACCTTGTTCTGAGACGGTCTTCCCGGGTGACATAGACAGATGGAATCCTCGAGATGGAAATCCCTGCTGAATTTCACTAAAGAAGTGAAGACGTTCAAGAGAGGATACTAAAGAACAATTTGGGGGGAAGTTCAGAGATAATGCAAAGGGAAAAATCTGGTGAAAAAGAACGCAAGACCTCTGCATCCCTCAGCTCTGCTATGTATGCCTTGGCTTTGGAACGTTGGGAAACTGAGTATTTCTCAATGAAGTAAATATCCAATCTATGTGCACCTCCTGCTGGTCTGAAATATATGCAGAACTCCAGCATATTGCATCACTGCTATGTCTGCACCCAGTCCAGGCTCCATCTTTGTTTGGTCCAGCACCTTCCACATTGCTCCAACCGCTCCCCACCTTGCCCCCGCGCAGAGGATTACCACACAGTAAGCCAGGAGGATCTTTCTAAAATCTAATGATGACGTGTCACCCCACTGCGAAAACTCTCCCAAGCCTTCCTTTCTTCTCATGGAGAAACTCCAAGTCTGGCCTTTGAGCCCAGGCATGATTCAGGGACGGACCCGCTGCCTCTCTGACCTCATCTCCCACCCCTGACTCCTCACTTGCTTAGACCCAGCCTCAGCGGCCTCTTTACTTTCTGAGAACAAGCCAGACACACGTGCCTTGTAACCTCTGAACATGCTACTCTTGACCTAGGTATCTGCAAGTGTGCTTCCTCGCCTTCTTGTCACCCTATGAGACAGTCCTTCCTTATCCACATCATCTAAAGTAGCATGCATACACACACACGAACATACACATACTTCATGGGCATGCACCCTGTGCAATCACACGGGGTCCCCCGCTCAGGAGGGCTCTATGCTTAGTCTAACGTTCATGGTTTAAAACCCACCATGACTACACCAGAGAGAGATTCAGAGAAAGAATCCTTGATCCCTTTCTCTCTGAACTTGTGTTGTGTAAGCTAAGTCCGATGGAACAGTGGAGTCCCTCGTGAGTAGAAGGATGCGCACAAAGCGTGCCCCCCCCATGTATAAAATTCGATAAGACGCAAAGTGAGTGCAAGGTAGGCATGCTGAGTCTGTGACTCAGTACACACTGCTTCACATGCAGACAGAAGTCAGCTGTGTTGGAAGAATGACCGAGGAACCCTACCATATCCTTCTGGTTCGTATAACTTCCCTGTATTAGGCAACCACTCATGCTGAAAATCATAACACAGGAGGACAGGGACAGGCAGGGTGACCACTGCTCCTCCTCCTTCTGGTCCCTCCTCGCTAATGAGTAAACAAAAGGCAGTGTCCGTGGAATGTCCACGTATTAGAAGTGAAACAAGAACAGGAGAGTTAGTTTTGCAGAGTGCTCCCACTGTCCTGGCAGGAGCAAAACACAAGAGTGTGTACAAACTGGGAAATGAAACTTGTGTAATTTCAGTCATTCAGCTCTCTTATTTGCATTTAAAGTGGGGAATTTGCAATGTAATGATGAATGGTAAATTCATGGTAATAACTTTAAATTTTTCTTTACTTAGAAGAGCATTAAGTAGAAGAAAAAAAACCACCATGACTATTTCAGAGATTCATAAAAGAAAGAAAAAGATTTTGGTTTTAGTACATTTAATGACATTTTTTCCTCAACTTTTTGAATAGAAGACACTCAATTTCCATTTTGTACTGAACCCCACAAATTACATAGCTATATATACTCATCATTGTCTACTCCTTTCCCGATTTATTATTCTTACAACTACATATAACCACTATAAATTTATGTTCTTTTGTTACTTTATGGTCTGTGATCTTCCACTAGAATACGAACACCATAGGAGCAGAAACTGTTTTATGCAATGCCGTATCCCAAGGGCTTACAGCGGTTTACAAGTCCACATAGAATCTACTAGAACTCCAACTGGCCATTCCGATGTCGGTCAGTTTTACATCAACTTGGCTAGATTATCATGCTTCGTTATCAATCAAACATTAAGCACCTTGGCGTTGCTGTGAAGGTATTTTGCAGACGTGATTAAAGTCCATAATCAGTTGAACTGAATGAAGTAAGGGGGGCTATCCTAGATCATCTGAGTGGGACAGATTTAATCAACTGAGTGACCTCAGCTTAACAGTGCACTGAGGCTTCCACGAAGAAGAAACCCCACGCTCAGACAGCCGTTTCCGTCCACGCCTGAGAGTCCAGCCCACCCTTCCGACAGCATCTCCTCAGGACTGGACTCCTGTCTAACCAGCCCCTGCAAACTGCATGAGTCAATTCCTTGAATAAACCTCAATAGCTATCTCCCACCACCTCTCCCTCTCTGATTTCACCCTGACTGACACAGCCACCTTTGAGGACGCCAAGTTGCCAGCCCTGATGCATTTGTAAATAGGAAAGAGGCTTGCCCTTCCGTTTCCTAGGGAGTATTGATTTGTATTTTTTTAAGGTTTTATTTATTTACTTTTAGAGAGAAAGGAAGGGAGGGAGAAAGAGAGGGAGGGAAACATCAACATGTGAAAAATACATTGATCGACCAGTTGCCTCTCGCACGCCCCCAACTGGGGGCCTGGCCCACAACCCGGGCATGGGCCCCAACTAGGAATCGAACCAAAAACCTTTCGGTTCACAGGCCAGTGCTCAATCCACTGAGCCACACCAGCCAGGGCTGACTTGTATTTTTTAAACATGCAATGCAAGTTTTCATATTAAGCTGGGAATCTGTCTTGGTTCTTAATTGATTCCAGTCCAACTGAGGGAGTTGGGAGGAGAAACATGGATCCCTGAGAGAAGAGACGAAGCCGGTTTGCTGTTGACAATAAAGGGGAGAGCATTTACGTCTGAAAATGAGGTAAGGAGCTGCTGAGGACGCTGTCCCTGTCTGCCGTTCTGCTGCAGCTCTAAGAGAAGCCACAGAACCACAGCTCAACTCAGCCTGACTTCCACACAGCAAGTTCCTGAAAATGGCACTAGAAGGGACTCTATTCTCAAAGGACTGGACAACCACCCTGCTCAGAAATGCTGAGACGGTCTTCCTGAACCTTGTTGTGGGACCTAGTGTCTTCGCTACCGGATCTGTCACTAAGCACACAGAGACACTGAAAGTTCCAGACTGGCACACACATGGCCCCTGTGGTGACTTGGCTTGAGAGCCAGTTAAAAGAAATAAACAAACGTTTCAGTCCTGACTGGTAGAGTTCAGTGGATTGGGCGTCATCCTGCGAACCAAAGGGTCACTGGTTCGATTCCCAGTCAGGGCACATGTGGGCCAGGTCCCCTGTCGTGGACACACGCAAGAGGTAACCAATTGATGTTTCTTTCCCTTTCTACCCCCCCTTCCATTCTCTCTAAAAATAATTTTTTTAATCTTTAAAAGAATTTTTTAACTTAATTTGGGGCTAGGAAGATAACAGAGCTCAAATTCCAACTTCAACAAAATGAGTTGTGAAACCCCAGCTACCTAGCTCTTAGGAGCCTTGGCACCCCCAGACAGGCAGGGGCGTCCCCTGCACTCGCTCGCCAGCTTGTTCCTCGCCATGCCCTCACGGAACACCTACCCACCTCCGGCCAGACGCACAGGCACAGCTGGGTCCCAGAGAGTGTTAGTCTCTGCTTAAAAGGGTTTTTTCTCACAGCAGGTGGAGACGGCGACACCAAACGCCAACTGCACATTTTTGTGACAAGTTTGTCAGAAACGCTAAAGAGAGATGGTAAGAATACTGAAAAGCGAAATGGAGAAAATGATCCAATTATTTTTTCTTTAATGGTTTCGTCCTTTTGCCCACTGTGAAAGGACAGAGGTAAAGGGGGGAGTAAAATATGATCTTATTTGATGAATCGTTGAGTCTCCAATACTACATCTTCTTAGAGGGAATTCACATTTTTATGTAAGGCTAACTCTGAGGTGCTCTTGCACATTTTGGGGTGGTAGAAGTGTTACAGCTATACCTGTTTCTGATAAGAACACTCTTCTGCCTCTTTCTTTTGGCCACTCGTCACATTCTCTGTCCCCCTGACACTGGGAAAGAATACGTGACACAGGCTGACCATTGGAGGCCACATGCCCCCAGTCAAAGGCATTGATTGATGCAGAGGGAACTCGAGACTGGCTGAACACGCTCTTCTGAACCATGGCCAGGTAGGCCTGCTAGACTTGGCATGCTGCGAGTCTGGAGCCGCTGCTGACCTTCCCACCTGCCAAGGTCAGCCCGAGAAGGAGACCACACAGAGACAAGGGGTGCAGAGAAGTGGAGCGTCAGAGACTTGGCGTCGCCGAGCCCCTGGATTCAGCTGCGTCTGACTCGGATCCACCCGTGGTCTCACCAAGAATATGAACCAATACACCCCCTTTCGTGCTGTAAACGAGCCTGAATTAGGTGTCTAATCCTTGCAACTACAGGAGCCTCACCAATACAAATGACTTTTTAATAAGAAGTCACCTGTGAAAATTAAATGGAGCCACTAATGAAAAGCAGAGAAAGAATTCATAAATGTTAAACTGCAGAAATGAAAAGCAATATTTTATGTGTGTGTGTGTGTGTGTGTGTGTTTAAAATGAATCTTGCACTTAGTTATTTGAACAGGCTGAGCCTTAATGATAAGTCAGTGAATAATAATCGACCTAAAGAAGGTATTATAGTGCCCAGGTTATTCCGATCTGTGATAAAGCCCTCTGAGCTACGGCCAAAATGACATAAATTCCAAGCCTCAAAGACAGCCACACAGTACCCCCGCAGGGACACCCAATCTGGGGGGCAAGCCGTCC